GGAGCAGCTGTAAGGAGAGTGGAGACTAGGGAGGCTATTGGCAGAACCCCAAGGTGAGGAGAGCAGGTGTGAGACCCAGAGGAGCAGGTCCCAGGGCGGAACTGAGCCACAAACCAGGACAAAGCACCAAGGGACAGCTTATAGCTGCCTGGCCAAACCCCATTCCTGAGGTTCCCAGGGCCTCACACTTCATCTGTGGCTGCCAAGGCCCAGCTGTAAATGCTGGGGCTCAAGCAGAAAGTTTGGCAGTTCTGAAGGAGATTGGGGATCACTGGGTCCCACCCCTGTCCTAGACTGAGACTCAAAGTGTGGGTTAGGCAGGCAGCAGGGAGAGCTGCCCAAGGCCACACATGGAGCTGGGCTCCAGCGCCTCCCCTTCCTGAAGACACACCTCCTGCAAGTTTAGGGCCATCTCCTCCCATGCCCTGCCCCAAATCCCTGCCCCAGCCTCTGAGCCAGAGCCCAGAACCCACGGGAGTCTGGGCTGGGACTAAATGTCCTGTCTCCCTGGAGCTGAACTCAGCTGCCAGATCTCATCCTAGCTGAAGGCGGGTGTGCTGGTGGGGAGTAGAGGGGCCAGCCCTGTGCAGAAGAGCCTCTGTGGGGGCTGGTGTGGCAGGGGCTTGTGTACATTTGAGGGTGTTGGGGGTCCATGTGGCCTGAGGATGTCATGTGTGTATCCCTGACCTGGAATCTTTTTCTACCTCACCCCCAGAACCCTCCGGCCTGTTCAACAACCTCTGAAAGCCCAGACTTGGCTCCTAGAATCAAAGGCTTGAGTAAGCTCTGGTCAGTTCGAGGGACAGGGGTCTGCCCACTGGTCAGGAGCAGGACCAGCCCAGGGGTATTGGCCAGGCTGCCCCACTAAGGGGATCCCACTTGGTCCAGACTTCCTATGGTTTATTTAGCTACAATGCCAGGTCTTCTTCCATCCCCTTCCTCCATCTTCCCTTGTGTCCCTATCCCCTCCTTTTGATGCTGTAATTTAGAGAGTACAGAGCTGAGCCAACCTCACAACCCCTTTGGGGCCATATCCCAGAGACAGATGTGGGTCCACAAAGAGAAAGGGACCAAAGGGAGCTTAGCCTGATGTCCCACAGAGGGTCAATAAGAGACAGAACTCCTTCCTGGGACTGCAACCCTCAGACCAATCTTGGCCCTTCCCCTCCACACCCTTGCAAAGGTTCCTATATTCCTCTGTCAAAGTACATGTCACAGTTTAAAACTGTGCACTTTTTGCCACATGATCAGCGTTCATCTCCCCCCAGAGGTGGAGCCTGTGTTTGCTCCCCACCTGTAGTTCAGTGCCTCACACACAGTAGGCACGCAATAAATGTTTCTTGAGTGACCGTGTCATTCCAGAGCTCTAGAGAGGTCTTCAGGGAAGTGGTGACATGTGACCTCAATCCAGCAGAGGAGAGAGAACAGTAAGTGCCAAGACGAAGAGGGCATGGCCCAGCCTGGAGGGGCAGGTGTGGTGAGCTCCCCAGAGAGTTAACATCCTATGGGCTGGGGCTCATCAAACACCTGGAGACCAGACTGGTAAGTGGAAAGGAGCAGACAGAGCCATAGGACCCCTGTCTTGTCCGCTTGGCTGCCCAGTTGGCTTGACCTTCAGAGCCATCCCTCAGTACCCAGACTGGCTCAGGTGTCTGGACTCTGACCCCAGTGGACCCACCCACTGTAGATACAGACCTGGAACCCAGGAGCCTGCAAGGTCTCGAGCCCCATCTGAGCCTGGCTGACCCCAGCTGTCCCCCAGATTTTCCAAGGCTCCCCTCCCCCTAATCCTGGGCTCCATGCCCACTCACCAGAGGCTTTGTGCCACACACTCCATCCTCTCATTTAGGGTCCTCTGGATCATCCCAGACTAACCCAGGGCACCGAGGGCCTACTCTCATCTATTTGGAACTATGCCCAAAGCCTCTAACATGGCTCCATGGACAGGGGCATCATCAAGTGTCCTGGACAACAGGGACAGGGGCAGGCACCTGGCCTCTGAGTGCCCAGCACCCACACCTGAGTGGCTAAGGCCTCCTCATTCACCACCATGGTCAGACAAGTTCCGGGGCGGCTCAGCTGGGAATTTTCAAGCACAGAAATCATTTTCAAAATCCTCAGAAGCTCTGATGTCTGTGGTTCCCAAATCCACCCAGAAACAGCCTGAGTCTGTCCAAAAACTGGCGAGAACAACCAAGAAATTCAAATCTTAGTTGGTGGAAGGAAAGGGGCTAAGTCTTACCCTACCCATGGCTCTGACCATGCCCCCCAGGGGCTGCAGCCAAGGGAAATTCTGTTTCCAGCTGTAGCTACAGCAAATCTTGCCAGGCTATCTACTCTCCATCAGTAGAAGGAAGAACAATATTCTGACAAAACCCTTCTTCTCAGCCCCCGTTTTGGTGGCCAAATTTCTAACACAAAAGGCAAAAGACACAAATGAATGTGGCTTTTCTGATGAAAAGGTCCCACAGGTCCCTCTGAGATTGAGTGTAGAAGAATCCCAGGATTTAGAAAAAGATAGATATGGTGAGGGTTCCAGCTCTACCACTATGAGCTGTTTGTCTCTGAGCCTCAGTTGACTCTTCTGAGAACTGGTAATGTTAATTCCTACATCCTGGGGATGCTGGGGATAATGTGAAAATTAAGTGAGGTTGTGTCTATGAAAGCTGAGCATCAAGAACAGTTTATTATTATCATTATAGAGAGAGGGTGGCATGATGCAAAAAGCATTATTTTGGGTAAAGGCAACTTCATTCAAATCCACGCTCCGTCTCTTGCTGCTGTGTGACCTGGGATGACTTACTCCACCTCTCTGGGCCTTCCTTTCCTCACCTGCAAAATGGGATTACTGACAACTACCTCACAGGATTGTTGCAAGGTTTAAATGAAATAACATGGGCCTCAGAAGAGGCTCTCAAGGGTGCTGGTCCCCCTCCACCACCCCAGGCAAGAAAGGGTGCTACAGGGTCCAGCACAGGGGTAGAGACAGGATTATTGTATCCCCACCTCCCAAAAGCCCCTGTCTCCAAGGTCCTGCCTCCTCACTAACAGCTGACTGACAAGAGAGCTAAGCACGCAGACCTCCCCCACCCCAGCAAGTGACACACTGGTGACATGGGGTGATTCTACGAGAGCCAGGGCAGTCCCATCAGAGGGCAGGAGCTTGAAGGTGACCCATGTGTGCCAAGGGATTTCCCTCCAGGGCTCACAGCAGGGCCTCTGCTAGACATGGAATAGAATCCAAGGGGGTTTTCTTATTCAGGGAACATTTTGTTTGTGGGGCCAGCCCAAGCCCACCAAGAGGTCAGTGTCCCCAGGAGCCATGTGATCATAGCCTGTGAATGTGGACTCTGCTTCATTGAAGTCCAGTGTAGTTATTTATTCATCAGCCCTGGGGAACCGTAGCCCATCCAAACAGACCTCCGCAAAGAGAAACTCATGCTCCTGTTCACTCTATCGGATGGGGTCCACGGCAGGAAGCAGAGCTTACGAAGGGGCTGCTTACAGAGGAGTGAACTCAGTGAAGGGAACAAATGGCAAGTTGAGGCACCCCAAGACCAGCAACAGTAGGAAGCTGTTACCAACCCAGAGCCGATGGGACACAGGGGAGGGCGTTTCCAGGACCCAGTAAGGGACAGAACCATAGAGGGCCTGCCCAACAGGACTGGCATCACAGAGAAATGCAGCCACAGCAGCAAATGTGGGCCAGCGCAGAGAGGAGCAGGAAAGAAATACCCACTTTTCTCCTCCCGTCCTCAAGTGCCTGCTGGAGCCCCTGCTGCCAAACCTACCCAGAAGCCAGGCCAGGAGGCACAGTGGCAGGCCCCTTAACAGAGGGCAGAGGCTGGCGGGGGGTGAGGGGGAGTGCATCTCGGAGGCTGGGAAGGGAAAACAGAATGGCCTGCAAATCCCACAACCAGATGACTGGGCTTTAAGGAACAGGAAAGGTCCACAAACCATTCAGCGTGGCAGGACTAGAGTGTCAGTAAACATTCATGCGTCTTTGGTTTCATTTTGAGCTACTGTTTATTGGTAACATTGCAAATACTTTTTAATACAGACCTGAAAACAACCTTGAGAGGTAGATACTAGTGTTCCCATTGTACGATGATGACACTGAGGCTCAGTGAGGTCAAGTGTCCAGCCCACAGCAGCACAGCAACAAACAGTGCCACTGAGACTCCATACACCGAAGAGCTTACGATCATAACCGTCACCTGCACTGTGTGAGCCTGAAAAGACCCTGTGTGACTTGTGTCCCTGTGGGAAGATGCAGACAGGGACGAGAGGGCAAGAAGTTCTCCAAGAAGGAGAGGCAGCTACAATTTAGTCCTCGGGGTGGGGCCTGGGCGTACCAGGGTTGCGGTGGAAGGTGCACAGGGGTGCGCAGGGATGAAAAGTGGGACCAAGGATGGCTCCACATAGGAGGGTGTTGAGCTCAACTCTGAAGTTCACAGACAGAGAAGGGGGCAGGATCGTGGTGGCTGTCCCGGCCACTTCTTTTCTCTAGCTCCCTGCTATCTGTAGTATTCTCACACAGCCTCATGGTTTAAACACCGTCCACATGCAGCAAGCTCCCCCAGGATCCAGGCCAGGTCTCCAGCAGCTGCTGGCTACAGTCAGAGATGTTTAATGAGCAACTCCAACCTAACGCAGCCCACTCAGAACTTCTGGCTTCTTCACCACCAAATGTACCACCACCGGCCCCCAGTTTTCCAGATCTTAGTAAAGTCCCCACTGTCCCCACAGATGCTCAGGCCAAAGACTGGGGAGCCATCCTTGGTTCCTCTCCAAACCTCACTCCCTACATCCCATCAACCAGCAAGTCCCATTAACTCCACCTCAGAAACAGATCTCCTATAGGCCATCTCCTATAAACTCAGTCTGGGCCATCATCAACTCTGGCCTGGAATGGAGGTGACAGCCTCCTCACTGGTCCTCCAAGCCCACCCTTGACCCCTCACCAGCCAGTCCCCTCACCGTAGCTGGGATCTCTTTGGATCAGATCACATCACTCTTCCCCAGGCCCTGTCCTACAAGGCCCTGCACAGCCCAACTGCATTCATTTCCTATGGCTGCTGTGACAACCTACCACAAACGTGGGGGCTTAAAGCAGCGCCAGTTTATTTATTTATTGCCTTATGGTTGTGGAGGTCAGCAGTACTGAATAGGCCTCAGGAGCTGCAATCTGAGCTGTATTCCTTCTGGAGTCTAATCCATGTCCTTGCCTTTTCCAGCATCCCGAGGCCACCTGCGTTCCTTGGATTGTAGCCTCACGTTGCTTCACCCTCCTGTCATCACCTCTTCTCTTTCCTGGCTCTGACCCTCTTGCCTCCATCTTCTGAGGACCCTGTGAGTACATTGAGTCCACACCCACATATTAATAGGTTCCCGGGATTAGGATGTGGATGTTCAGCCTATTGCACCGACCCAGCCACCTCTTGCACCCCAGCCCTGTTGCTCGTGTCTATCTGACCCGGGACTTCTTTTGCTCCTCACACTTACTAACCTCAGGGCCTTTGCAGGGGCTGGCGCTGCTGCCTGGAATTCCCTTTCTTCCCCTGGCGCTCCTATGGCTGACCCTCAGGCGGTGGCTGAAGTGTCAGCTCTCCCAGAGGCCTTCTCTAGCCTCGTAGTCTCCGCCAGCTGCCCCCACTCTCTGTGGCAGCCCCATCATCACTCCCTGAACACTCTGATCACCAGCTGATGTTTTTCCTTCTACTTGTGTTCCTGTTGTTCCCACTATAGCATGCACTCCCTGAGGGCAGGTCCCATCCTCTCACTCTCTGCTGCACCCCTCTGCCCAGCATGGAGCCCGGCACACAGTAGGCGCCCAACAGCCGCCGGCTCAGAGCGTGGGCTGTCACCCTTCCTGCCGAGAACTCTAAGAACTTTCTCTCTCCCTGTTCCTTGGTTTCACTTCCATTTGTTTTACTTGATCATCTTTGAGTCACTTCTCACTTAAGGGATGAAGAGAGAACCAAGACTCGCTGCTGCTTTCCGGGCAAAGAAGGAAATGACCACAGGGCCCGAGCCTGCCCTGAGTCAGGACCAGCTTCCTGGCCAGAACTCCCAACCTCCCCCCTCTCCGCCCCAAGCCTTTGTTCATTGCCTTCCTCCTGCCTGGAACATCCTACGTTCAGGGCTCCAGGGTGTGAGATCTCTCCCAGCTCGACCCCCTCCTTTGCGGCTGAGGAACTGAGGCCTGGAGGAGGCAGGACCCTCTGCCGAACACATGGCACCTGCATTCTGGGCCCACCAACTTTTGAACAAAAGACCCCACATTTCCACCCCCACCCTGGGAGTCCACTTCCTCCTGGGCCAGAGGCAGGAACCGGAGGGCAGGGGCCTTGATTGCTAATGTCAGCGGGCCTAGAGGTCAGCTCGCCCAACACAGACACCCTGGGTCCTAGTGAGGCCAGCCCGGCGCCAGGCCAGGGGGAACCAGGGAAATGTTACTCGAGTTTAGAAACCTCCTGGGATGTACAGAGTCCAACCTCTCCCTCAGGGGACAGCCAGGAGAGGAGCCCATTTCATCCTGCACCCTGTGGGTCCTTGTCTCTCTCCAGGCATGAGCCCTGATTCCGGCTGGCACTTACCTGCCTTCTTCCCCTACACCATCCCAGGAGCTGCAGGTCAGTGACACAGGGACTCAGGATGGGTGGACAAACAGAATCAGGGCTAAGAGGGCATGGTAATGGCCAAGGTCATGGCCTTTATCAACCATGGGGTGGTGGAGCAAATCCTTGTGCTTGGAATTCAGGATGAAGCCAGGCCTTGATCTCTTGAGGAACCCACATCCCTAGCCTGGGGTGGCTTTCAAGACTGTGTAACCTGTGCAACTGCTCAGGGCCTGCACTTAAAAGGGCCCCATGCTCAGTTTAATGTTCTTTTGCCTCTGTTTTAAAATTCTGAATAACTTTTGAAAAAAGGACCCCACATTTCCATTTTGCACTAGGCTCCATAAACTATAAAGCTGGTCCTGTGAACCCAACCTCCCAGGCCCCCACCCCGCTCACCCTGCTCTTGTAACAGCTCCTAAGCTGACCATGAGATCTGGGGTGAGGGGCTGACTCCCTGGGTTAAGACATTTGGGTAAAAGAGCTTTTGACCCAATGCAAAGCTGCCAAAGGGGCTTTCAGGCTGGCCAGGTAGGTATGTTTGTTCAGAAGAGTTTTTAAATCTCACCCATAGCAGCAGCTGCTGGGACAAGGTAAGGCACTAGGAAGGAGCTTGAACTTTTGGGCCACACAGCCTTGGTTCAGATCCTGGCTCTACTCCTTACAATCTAGGTGATCTCAGGAATATTACTAAACCTCTCTGTTCCTCAGCTCATCTGTAAAATGATGGATACAATTACACCAACCTCGGGGGTGACTGGGAGGATTAAATGAGATAGCACATATAAAGTGCCTGAAACAGTGTCAGGCCAATAACAAGTGCTTGGTAAAGGTTAGCCACTGAGGTCAGACACCTGATTCCATCCTCAGCCCTACCACTTACTTCAGTATGAACTTAACGTCTCTGTGCCTCAGTTTCTTCATTTGCACAATGAGGATAACCCAGGTGCCCATTTCATCATGCACCCTGTGGGTCCTTGTCTCTCTCCAAGCATGAGCTCTGGAGCTCATGCATGGCGCTTTTGGAGCTACCATCAGCATCAGCATCACCCCCTCCTCTGGGAGACCCTTCCTGCAGCCCCTCTTCTGGATTCTCACATCCCCAGCACTTCCTTCCATTCTAGCACGTAGGAATTGTTTCTGTGCCTGTCTTCCCCCTCCCAGACTTTGAGCTCTTTGGGGGCAGGGACAGGGTCTGGTTCTGCTGGTGTCAGCAGAGAGTGAAGGGTGAAGGAGTGAATGGACAAAGGTTGTTCTGTTCTCCATGGGAGATGCCCACAACCCTGGGCAGTAGCCACCATGCCCTGATGGTATCTCTCCTCTTTCCCCAGATCTATCTGTCCTGGAAAGATGCAGAGGCTCATGATGCTGGTCGCTGTATTGGACACCTGCCTGGGCTTGCTGATGGCAGCTGCAGCAGCAACAGCAGGCACTAACCCTGCCCAACTGGACACTCCCGGCATGCTGCCCACCCTCCGGCGCCAGAAGAGAGACTGGATTTGGAACCAGATGCACATTGATGAAGAGAGAAACACCTCACTGCCCCATTATGTGGGCAAGGTAATGCTCAGGCCCCAGGGCAGGAGAAGCCATCAGCAGCTGGCCCACAGTGACAGTGGTGGTGGGGATGATAATAATGGTAAAGATGGTGGTAGATACTGTGATGGCTGTGGGGGTACAGGTAATGGTTGTGAGGGTGATGGCAAACGGGGTAAAGATGGTGGAGGTGATAGATGTGGTAGTGGTGCTGGTGATAGTGAAGGGGAAGGCGAGGATGATGATGGTGGTGGTGGTAGTGATGGAGGTTATGATGGTGATGGTGATGGTGAAGGGGTAGATGGTGGTGATGGTGGTGGTGGTAATGATGATGGTGATAGTAGTGGTGATTGTGACGATGGCAGTCATGAAGGAGAAGGTGATAATGATGGTGATCATGGAGATGATGGTGGTGGTGGTATAGGTGATGGTGAGCACCATGGTTCATTTTCTTCCGGCCTTCAGTCTGTGCCATCTACAAAATTGTGCTGATGACAAAGTGAACCATCCAGGCCATAGTTTGCCAACCCTGGTCTAGGCTTCTGAAACTCCTCAAAAACCCATTTCTCTCAGACCATCTCATCCTTGTTTCCATGACCCCCACACCGCTCCCCAAATTCCAGGACACTCAGAGTGAAGTGCCTGGCCCACCTCTAAGCCAGTGCCTAGGGTTCTGACCCTCATTTTGTCTTCCTTTAAAACGTATCCATCCAAGCCCCCCATCCTAGAGCTCAGAGCTCATCTGAGTGACTGCTGAATTGTCTCACCATGTCAAATTGTCATTGATGTCAAAACTATCTAGTCTAATTCAAAGGAATGGTCCACATGACAGAATTTCACATGCAGTGACAGTTAGATGGGGGAGGTATTTTGAGAGTTTTCGGTAAGGAAGAATGTTTCTGAGTGCATTAAAATCTCACCACATCAGCTTCCTGGAATCTGAACATTGGTCACAAGAAAGAATGGGTCAATGTACTGGAGAAAGGAAGGTCGGTTTCAAGCACTTGACTGGGTACTGGGAATTCAGCAGTAGGCAAAGACAGGCATGATTCCCACCCTCATGGAGATAGGGGTCTAGCATAGGGGTCAGCAAACAACCACCTGTGGGCCAAATCTGGCCCACAACCCTGTCTGGTAAATAAAGTTTTCTTAGAACACAGTCACCAGTCACACCAACTCATTTAAGAATTCATGCAACGATGGCAGAGTTGAGAAGTTGTGACAAGGACCATATGGCTCACAAAGCTGAAAGTATTTACTATCTGGCCCTTTACAGAAACAGTTTGCCCACCCTGGTCTAGAAGGGCAGAATATGTCAGGCAAAGGACTCCTCCAGTGGTGGTGATGGGGGTGCCCTCTGGTCCTAGAGAAATCCCAGTCTGGCTGAAGCACCAGAAAAGCCCTGCCAGCTAAAGGAAGCAGGTGGGGCCAACTGGGAATTTCCACTCACGGCCCCAACTCCAGCCAGCTGACTGTGCCCCTAGGCTTTTCTTGCTATCCAGAATGGCTGGCAAATTTTAATACTCCATCATGGCCACCCAGAGGGGAAGAATTTGCCCAGGATCACAAAGGGAGACCAGGACAGAGCCCTAAGGGCTAGGTTCCTGACTCTCAGCATGAATGTGAGCTCTGTGTCATAGAGGAAAATGTAGTCAACCCACCTATGACCTTCCCAGTGGGATAACTGTGCCATGAATCAGCCTCTAAAGAGAATGGCTAGTTCCAAGGAAAATCTGTGGGGTAAGACAGGGAGTGTCAGCAGAAACCAGGGCCACCTGCATCACATGCAGCTGTGGAGGGCTCGCTCAGGTCTTGCCAGTAGCAGGAAGAGCACTGGGTCTGCCACCATCTGTCAACATTGTTCACTTGGGACCCTGCACAGGGCCAGGGACAGAGGATAAACCCGGAGAAGAAACAAGAGTACCTGGGAGAGGCAAGGACAGTGCTCTAAGGACAACCTCCCGGCTCCCAAGGACGTAATCCAAGGGAAGGAAGTCCCTGTTTATCAGGGTCAGAGCCTGGAGCCTTTGTTTACAGACCTGGATGGACAACAGGAGACAGCCCTGAGCAGCCTTCTGAATCCATAAATATGGGTCAGCTTGGCTTTTGGCATTGAGATGTTGTGTCCACATACGGTGGTATTAGAAAGCGGGGGAGGCTCCCAGAAACCCATAACCCTCGTCTAGTCATGAGAAAGAAACTCAACAAATTCCAGTACAGGGACACCCTACAAAATACCTGTCCAGTGCTCCTCAAAACTGTCGAGGTCACCAAAAACAATGAAAGTCTGAGGTAATCTCACAGCCCAGAAGAGCTTAAAGAAATACGATGACTAGATGTCATGTGGTGTCCTGGTTGGGATCCTGAAACAGAAAAAAAGACATGAAGTAAAACTAAGGAAATATGCATAAACTATGCATATTAGTTCATGACAATCTATCACTATTGGTCCATTCATTATAACAAATGAACCACACTAATGTAAGATGTTAATACTAAGGGAAAAGATGAGCAGTCATATAGGAACTCTCTGTACTTACCAATTTTTCTGTAAATCTAAAACTGTTCTAAAAAATAAAGTCTATTTAGGAAACATTGGAGGACAGGAAAACAGAAACTTCCATTTACATGAAATCATCTGCAGAACTCCAGTAAAATAGATCCAAGCTGACGTGCCCTCCCACCACGGTTCCTGCCTTCACGGGTCCTAACGCACCGACCCAGAAGCAAGTTTGAAAACTGCCATGTTATCCTAACCCTGAGCAACTCATGCAAGGCCCCAGACTGTCCCCTCTCCTTGAGTCCCCATTATCCCCACAGGCCACAGTTACAGACTGGTGGCTTCCTTGCTTGCTGTCCAGCTACTCATTGTACCTCCCGGCCTCTGGGCCTTGAAATCTCCTCGGAACCTACCTGCCCCGTGCATACCACAGCACTGCCCCCAGAGGATTTGCCCCCACCAGCTGCCAACCTCTCCCCCTCCCTGTCCACCCAAGAGGTAGGGTCTTCACTATCTGCCTCCACTCCTTCACCTTCCAGACTCTTCCCTACACTCTGCCATCTGGCTTCTCACCCTGCCACCCTGCTGATGCTGCTCCAACCAAGGGCTCCAATGATCCTGAGCCCTCATACTGATCATGGACTGACCCTGACCCTCGACATGAACTGAGTCCTGATCCTGATCATGAACAGAACACTGACCCTAGTCATGGACTGAGCCCTGGCCATCAGAGACACACATATCTTAGGACACCAATAGTATTTGTTACAAAAAAAATAATTCAGTGACCTAGTAAGTATGGGAAATCCTGAATTAAACAAAGCTCATTGGAACTCTTTTCTACAGGACTATACAATCACAGTCTCCAGGAGGAGAACATTTTACCATTCCAAAACTAAACTGACTGGGACCAATGGTGTGCTCAGTGTTTGACAAATGGCTCTCCAGGGGAAAAGATCCTGATCTGCAGCAATTGCCAATTTCCATGGTGTAAATACTCTCACCATGTCTGATTTCAATCTACCAGTTTGACGTCACTGTGGGCAGAGTTGGGAATAGATGTGGATAACACATCATCATTTAGTATTTCCATCATACAGAATAATAGACATAATTAACCTCATGAACAAAGTAAAATAATTTAGAAGTGATGAACTCTGAATATCTGTTAGCTTTGTTTATAATTTGATTTACTTAATTGTAAGTTTATAGAATTCCATGTTTAATAATGGCTATGTTTAACAACCAACTCACAAATATTCCTGAAAACTTAAGTTGGCTCTTGAAACCCGCACTGAAACAAGCCAGCTCGAGCACACCACTGACTGTCTGGAACAGCAAAGGAGGCCAGTGTTTCCTGGAACTCACTTTCAAAAGGGCTGTTCTGTTCACAGAGCAACTCAACATCAGAAGCGATATTGTTTTCATTTTTCAAATGAGTTAACTATCACTCAGAGAAATTAAGTGACTTCAAAGGGGCAAAAATCCCTCTTGCCTTCCAATGGCACCAAGTATATTCTTCCACTCAAAAAATGATTTCTAAGCACCTACTATGTCCCAGGTACCGTTCTAGGCACATTGGGTGCTGCTAGGCAACCCACACCAATGTGGTGTTTGCAGTGACCTGGGCAGGAACAACTCACTGGTGACCAGTCAGAGGCTCTTGTTAAAAACCTCTGTGTCACATTTAGGACCCCTGACTAGCAGCACATGCCCATGCACACACACACGTGCACATACACACACATGCACACACACATACCTACATGCACGCACGTGCACACAGCCACCACTGCCCATTCCCAGCTCACGTTGCCTCTTCTTTCCTAGATCAAGTCGAGCGTGAACAGAAAGAATGCCAAGTACCTGCTCAGAGGAGAGTCTGTCGGCAAGGTCTTCCGGGTCAACGAGGACACAGGAGACGTGTATGCCTTTGAGAGGCTGGACCGGGAGAAGACCTCCGAGTACCACCTCATTGCCCTCATCGTGGACAAGGACACCAACAGAGACCTGGAGTCTCCTTCCAGTTTCACCATCAAAGTTCACGACGTGAATGACAACTGGCCTGTGTTCACGCACCGGTTGTTCAATGCATCTGTGCCCGAGATGTCGGCTGTGGGTAAGTGCCCAGTCTGTCCCTCTCCATCTTCTCTCCCTCATCCCCATCCTGGAGGCACCTCTCACATCAACCACTTCACCACCCGGGGTCAGAGTTCAGTGAGTTCAGGGCAGCGGTTATAATAACTGTGTTGCCACTTTATATGACTTGAAACCCTGATCCCTAAAGACTAAGCTCTGACCTGGCCCCAGACTGAGCTCTGACCCTAGTCATGGACTGAGCCCTGATCCTGATCATGAACTGAGCTCATACGTAGTAATGGACTAACTCCTGGACATCAGAGACACACATATCTCACTACTCTTTAGAGCAAATCCCACCCACTGCCTCTGACCCACAGGATTGGCACACCAAGAGTGTAGCCTTTGTACATGAAGAATACCAAGCCCTGCCACTAATGCAAGAAGAGTCATCTCTAGAGGCCGTGTAGTAGAGGGGTGGAGGGCAGAACCCTGGCCATAAGACGTGTCGCCAGCCTGGACCCCAGGCTCAGGAGGTTATTATTCCTTCTTCAGTCCTCCCCTATTCTCCAGACGGTACCAGAAAAGGCTTCCCTCTCCACCCCCTCAGTCTAGGGTCCCTAGCCAGGGCCATGAGACTAGAACTTCCTGTTAAATGTGGACCCCTAGCCGGGGTTCAAGGTGGTGATGAGAGATGTGACACCACTCCTTTGGGGGAACGTTCCCATTTCCTTGTCCTCACCCTTCCAGGAGAAGGAGAAAAGCCCTTAGTCTCCTCGGTTTCTCCTCCTGACTCCAACCCTCTGCCAGCTCCCTAATTTCCCTCCTAAATGCACAAACCACCTATTTTTTCCTTCTTTCAAGGGTGGCCTGGCTGGGCCCCCACCACTGCCAGTACTTTTTCCCCATGCCAGTTCCTCAGGAAACAAAGCAGCCTTTTCTCCCTGAAGACCTGGGAAGGTCGGGACAGGGAATAACCTGAGTCCCATCTGCCCTCATGCAGGGATGAAGGGAGGGGCCAGCAGTCTCAGGGCAGCAACCTCAGGATTCTCTCTCTGCAGGGACCTCGGTCATCCGTGTGACAGCAGTGGATGCAGATGACCCCACTGTGGCAGATCACACCTCTGTCATGTACCAAGTCCTGAAGGGAGAAAAGTATTTTTCCATCGATAATTCCGGTCTGTGTGACTAACCATCCTGGGCAGGCACTGACTTGGGGGATGGGGGATGAGGGCTGTGAATATTCCAGGTGCAGATGCTGTGAGGAATCCAGTCTGACAGGTGTCACCAACCATTGAACCACCCTGTCCCATGGAGGTGGTCAGTATCACAAGCAAGGACAAGGTGGCTGGTCAGGGAAGAAGAAAGCAGACAGGTGCCCAAGACATGGATTTAAGTCCAGGGAACAAAAGCAGCACCTTGTTACCCAAGCAGTGACCGAGGGGCAACAGAGAATGCTGGTTAGCAGCTCTGGGTACAGGTTCAGACAGATCTGGTTTCCAAACCCCAGCTCTGCTACCAAACCCCTTTAGAGACCTTGGATAAGTCAACTAACCTCTGTGAGCCTTAGTTCCCTTATCTAGAAAATAGGGATGCCTATATTGGTTTTGTATGGTAGCTGTGAAGCTTGAATTTGATAATGTATAGAGTGAGCATAGCCACAGAGATTTTGCCACTTAAAAAACTGTAAGGACTGAGTCTGGGAACTAGATGGTCAGGCCTGGGGCTCACTGTCTTCCAGAGGGATGTCAGGTGCATAGCACAGACAACATTGCTATCCTGTGGGGCACCAAGGCAGACATCATTAATCCATCACAGCACTCTCACTCTGAGCCTGGATGTGTCCTCACGACCTTTCTCAACACAATGCTCCAGGTGGCTAGGACCAATATTGTACCAAATTGCTAGGCCAGCTTTGGCCTCACAGTGCAGGGTGTGGAAATAGTGGATGTGTACTAGTGGTTCTCAGCCATGGCTGCATAGTGGAATCAACTGGGGAGCTTTTAAGTCAGGTTCTCTCTGGGTAGGAACCAGGCATCAGTATTTTCCATAAGCTCCCAGGTAACATGGCTCCTGCTGGGACACTTTTACAGGACTCATTCTCACGACAACCAATAACTTGGACCGAGAGATGCAAGCCAGATACGAGATCGTGGTGGAGGCACAAGACATCCGGGGCCTCCGGGGGGACTCGGGCACGGCCACTGTGCTGGTCACCCTGCAAGACGTCAATGACAACTTCCCCATCTTCACCCAGAGTGAGCCCCTCCTTTAGGGTGCTGGGGAGGTTGGGTGTTGGAGCACTCCAGACTCAATAACTTGGGGCTCTGGGGGAGGAGCCCTGACTCCCTCTCCCTCTCTACCCACCCCAGGGTTGACCTAAGGCCCAGAGGAGTTCTTTTGGTGCAGGGAGGGGACCTTCTTTCATCCTGAACCACATTCACACAGATGAGAGGGAATCATGCCCCCTGCTGGATGCTACTCCTGTGCTCAGAGCCCCACTACAGATAGGAGCAGTTTCACCCAGATCCTATGGGCTCAGGAAAATCCAGGCCCTGAGACTCAAGCCCCAGCTAGAAAATTCCCACAAGCCAGTGAGCAGAGGGACAGCAAAGCTCTGTATCCAGAGCCAGGGCTGGGCTCTGACGCCACCCACAGACTGATGTCCCCCAAAATATGTCTGCCAACAGCTTTTCCCATGCCCTGGCTGAGGCCGGGCCAGAAAGTCACATGGCTCCGTCCACTTGCATCCTCTGGTGCTGGATGTCACAACTCAGAGGCTCGGCCACACAAAGACAGGCCAGTTGTCCTGGAGTGACCTCACTGTGCGCGGCAAATGCTCACTGAAGGCAGAACTTGTCCCTTGTCAACTGATAGGTCCCCTAGCAAAATGACTGGCACACAGTAGGTGCTCAATAACTACTTGGATGAATAGAGGGATGGAGGAATGGACAGATAGGGCAGACCTCTTTGCCAGAATCCCAGGGGTATTATTATCATTGTTGTTATCATTATTTCATCAATATCCATTTCATGTATCAAAATAAGGTAGGATAATATATAGGTATAATCACCTTGTCTATCTGATTAACCCACTGCCCTTTGGGGCACCCTCTTTGCATC